ACCTGTTGACCACACACTGTCAGATTCAGGTGAGCGGTTAAAAAGAGGCACATAAATGGTCATGCCCATACCAGTTCTTAACCTTTACAGCTATTGGGCTTAATATTATAAATACTTATGTAGGTAAAGTGCTGACTCGAAAGCCACCAACGTCACCAAGACTTCAAAGTGAAGGAAGAAAGGAAGATGTAATACGACTTTGTAAACGTTCATGTGAATCTCCTAAACCTGGATCCAGGGTGCGATCAGCTTCTACAGGTAGAGATAAAAAGTCAGGTGAGTTGTTTATGTACAGATTACAATAAAAACACCTTTATTAATTTGTGTACAATTGTTAATTTTCACTTATGTGTCCAGGTTTTCTTAGTTAGTGTTATCCCACATCAAAGAAACACAGAAAAGACATTTCCAACCCAACCCCCTCACAAATTAATGACTTTCTTGTAGCTCCAATGGAGGTAAGTATTTATGCCAAATTTTACCACTGTATGATCACTAAATATTTGAGAGAAGATATCTAAAGCTGTTAAAAGACACATATTTTGGGCACAGAAAAAGTTGCATAACTTCTACCATAATTGAGACACAGAACTCATTTCAAGTTCATAAAATTTCCTTTTCGTTGACCTATTACACCAGTATATTCAGCACAGTCACGTTCTCAGTGTGTTCAAATTTAACCTTTGATCCTATATCACCTAAAATGCTGTATTTAAATATCTTTGTGAAAGTATATTGTATGCATGATTATTATTTATAACACATGTAAATAACAAGTTGGAGCTACATTGGGATTTGGTTTTGTGAAGCATTTTACTGTGAAAAGTCATATTTGTTTGAAATTCTTTACATTCACATAAATTAACTATGTGTATATGTTGAGAAAAATGACATTTATATAGTAAGATACCTTCCTGTAAGAGAGCTACTTGTATAGAAGGTAATAAAAAATTGTCGGTACAATCTGGTTAACACTTGAAGGTGATGTGACATCAGGCCAAAACACATTTTCTGTATGAAGATTTCTGTCTTCTGGGTTGTTGCGCCGTGTAGTCTGGTAGATGTTTACCGAAGTTTCGGAGGTCATACTGCCTCCGTCATCAGGGCGATGAATGAATTCAGTAGATTTGCTGATAAAGTAAGAAGGTGGCAAAGGAAATGTGAGATTACATGTTTAAATGAGAATGTTAAATTGTTATTTCTAATAACTTTTAGAAAAATATTTTTACATTTATGTTTTTGTTTTGATATTTTATGTCATTATTTGCAGTTGTGTTGAAATTTGTATATTTTTTGTGTTTTTTACCTAATGAAAGTTTTGTTGTGTTTTATTTTAGAACTGCAGGCAAGATACTGGGCCTTTCTGTTTGGCAACTTGCAGAGAGCTGTGGATGAAATCTATCAGACGTGTGAAACAGATGAAAGCGTTTCGGAGTGCAAGGTTAGTTGTGTGGGATGAATGGAATGGATGCATGATAATTTCTTTGTGCTCACATGCAACTATAAGAGTTAAAAAGCAGTGGACAAATATACTTTTGGGGTTCCATTAAAGGTTTGTTTTGTTTACACATGACCCTTTATGCAAATTTAGGGCTGTAAAATGTCTGTATAGTGAAGTTTTGTGAAGTGACAAATTATTTTTATATTAATGAAGTTTTGTTGTAATGAAAGGCAATAGAGAGTAATGACATTAGATTTATTGCTTTTAGAAAAGTCAATGCATTTTTATCTAACAGGTGGCATATTTGTAATGGTATTTGTGAGCCTGTAAACAATTGTAGGATTTGAGGTTTTTATGGAGGTGCGTACAGAGATCGCTGTCTTCTGGGTTGTAGCACAATGGTGTTTTGTTATTTATTGTTTTTATAGGAGGTGATCCTGGTACTTGAAAATTACACCCGTGACTTCCACAGCCTTATCGAGTGGTTCAAGATAAAATGGGAATATGAGAACACTCCTCCACCGCAGCGACCGACGTCACTGGCATGGGAAATTAGGAAATCCTCACCAGGGAAGGTAATAAGTGTTGTATAGAGCAAGGAACATTAGCTAAAAATTGCTATAAATATTTTTGCATGTGGTAGTTACTGAGGAATACCGAGCTGGGTAATCCTAGCATGGGGATTCCATATCTAGTGGCACAGCCAATTTGGATTCTCCAGGGCAGTGGTCCCCAACGCGGCACCTGCCAAGGTTTTTTTTGGGTGCCTGCGTTGATACGGAAAGAGGTTATACTGAATAATGAAGGCCGTTCAACCATGAACATTATAAAATCAAAGCGCGGATCTCGCTTTACTGACGCCCATGTTGACGATTGTTTGCGAGCAGCAACATCATCCTACACTCCCAGATTTGAAAAACTGGCCGATGAAATGCAGCGCCAAACATCACACTAACTTCCCACTCGAGTAATAATAATTGTACTTATAAAACTACGTATTTTTGAGTGTGTGGTTTCTTGTATCGTTAAACGTCGTGTTGTTTTGTGTGTTGTTTGGTGTCCATATCTTATTTGTCCAGCGAAAAGAAAATTTTGCTTTGTTAATTGGTTGGTGCCCGCCATGATCTCATAAACTCTCAAATGTGCCCATAGGCACAAAAATGTTGGGGACCACTGCTCCAAGGTCTCCCCTGTTACATCATCATCACCCAGATAGTCACCGTACATTGCATGCACTTAAAGGTCATTGAATCCTGATAACTGATATTATTGACGCTGTTTAGAAAGCAAAGAGATGAAGGTGAGATTTCAGTTTCTCTCTGCAATGAATATGAAGGTGGCTGACTGTTTTCTGGGATGCTGTTTCACGTAGCATGATTTAAATTGAATGATATCTGAGAAATTCTTACTGCCTTTGTCATCAGGTTGATTGAATGTTGTGTTCGTCTACAGATAGTGGTTTTTTTTCCCAAAATGCTCCGGGTTTTTCTTACCAAACTGTTTTATGTTGTCCTTCACATCCGGTAATGTTATGGGAGGAGATGCAGTGAGTTGTTGAGTGAGGTGGAGATGGTTCATTCATACTGTACTAATATCGTGATTGTCATACTAGTGTCGGTGAGCGATTCATGATATATGTCAGCATGAAAGTATAATAAATTTGGATAGTCCTTTTTTTATTTTTATCCACGATTCCTCTTTCCACCATTTTTATAGATAATCAAGATTGTACTGTATGTCTACAAAACTATGTGTGTTTAATAATTTAAACTGTTATTATGAACAGGTGAAACACCAAAAATCAGGGAGCGACTGTGTAGGATTTGACCATTTCATAAATTTATGATGTATTTTAGGTCCGCCCTGTAGGTACCATGGAGACTACAGCTGCTGGCTCCAATGCTGTTATAAATGTGAATAGAGAAGATACACCAAATTTAACTGCACAGAATCTGGAGATGAGGAAGGAAGGCGTCACAGTAGATACAGGAACAAATCTACAAAATCCGGTGTCACAGCGCATTTCGTTACAGCCCGTCTGTCTTTCGGATAGTGCTGACGCAGTAATAAGTGAGATTGATGTTATAAACGGTACTCTCAATAGTAATTTGATGGCCGCAGATAATCCATTGCCTCTTAGTGTTTCAGATGAGATTAATATACATGATCAGGCTATTTTTAACTTTCAACCAAACAATATAACAGACAATGTGGATAGTTATGTGCAGAATGTAAATAATGATGTAAATAATAGAATGGAAATTGCGTCTAATTTGGACGTGAGTGGAAAGCAGCAGAAATGTGATACCTTATCTGCTGCTGGTCATGTGATTTTAGTCTCGGCTGATGAAGGGTGTAAAGGAATATGTGATGTGAGGGAACAGAGTCCTGAGATTGACGCAGAGGATGATCTGAATGGTGGAGAAATGAGTGCCAAGATTCAAGTGGGAATTAATATGATTTGTGAAACTGATACAACTACACACAAAGAAATAAATGAAAAGATAGCCAACGAAGATAATATCTTTGAGAAGTCAAGAGTTCCATTTTATGGTACCCTTAAAGATAATTCTGATATAAATGAGTACAGTAGAAGTGACAGTTGTGAGGTGGAGAGTGGAAACATTTCTGATACTAATTTAACTGTGGTTCCTATGACGGTCCATCAAGCCTCTCAGACAGATCTAGAAGAATGTATTGAGGATTCTGATGGTTTGAGATTCCTTTCAATCCCACGGAAAGCGGCGGTTACGACGCCTACACTTGTTAGCAAACCTGCACCAGTAATCAATGCTATAAGTAAAACAAGTGTTAGTGGCAGGTCGCCAGTAGCTTCACCGCGAGTTGGAGTTCGCGCAGCGTCTCTTGCGTCCAGCATGAGGCCACAGCCTTCTGTGAGACCAGCTTATGCAGCTGTTTCAAATCTTGGTAATCCAGCTATCGCTCGAAGTCAGGCACCGTTACATACCAGCCTGACATCTACCAGACTCTACAGCAGTCCTAGGTTTGTTCGGAGCCGGACTTCCACGGATGTAAGGCCTGCTGGGAGAGGAACTGCATTAAGAAAGTTACCAGCAGAGCCAGCAGCGGTGGCAGTCCTCAAGTCACAAAGAGGAGCGTTAATGTCGAGACAGGTAAGGAACTAACTAATTAACTAACTAACTAACTAACTAGGTGGCTTACCAAACCCGAAGGTTCATCATCAAATTAACCAAAGCCCTGTCCTGGGCCAACAAAATCCAGTCTCCTTCAACTCCTATCTCCCATAGATCCCGACCGAGATTATCCTCCCATCTACGTCTAGGTCTTCCCAGAGGTCTCTTCCCCTCAGGCTTCCAAAATAGTGGACCCAACCAACCAGATGGCTTACGGAACCCGAAGGTTCATCACCGAACTAACCAAAGCCCTCTACCAGACCCTGTCCTGGGCCAACAAAATCCAGTCTCCTTCGACTCTTATCTCCCATAGATCCCGCCTGACATTATCCTCCTATCTACGTCTAGGTCTCCCCAGCGGTCTCTTCCCCTCAGGCTTCCCAACCAATACCCGGTGCACACCTCTTGCCCCATCCATGCGTGCTACATGTCCCGCCAATCTCATTCTTCACGACTTAATCACCCTGACACAGGTAAGGAACTGTAATTGTAACTGAAGAGTAAGCACAGAAGTAGCTTTACAATATTCAGTGCATATATCTAGTAAATCAGAATCGTTTACACATATGTAGGTTGCCATTACTTATTGATTACACACACGTGTTATGGTGAAGAAAATTTGTAATTTTGGTTTTCCATAACATCCGTTGAATTTTTGTCACATTAATATTCATCAATTGACTGTAGTTCATTATCAGTGTATTTGTAATGCTGTTTATTTTCAGAAATTGTTATTTGACTTTTTGTTTTAGCTTCAGTCATGGGCACTGACTTTTCAAAAATTAGGGTGTGCTCTTATTTGCATTATAAATTCTTTCTAAAAGAGTTTTATTTCACATTTTATTTTTCTTCTTCTATTTTCGGTTTGACAATGTTTATACATTTTCCGGTACCCTTTTACGGGTCCCAACTTTTCGTTGGCTTGATCTATAGACATTCGGTAGGACTCCTTGGACGAGGGATCGGCCTGTCGCAGTGCAGGACAGCACAACACAGAAATACGCCGACAAACATCCATGGCTTGAGTGGGATTCGAACCCATGGTCCCAGCAACCAAAGCGGCACAAGGCTCACGCCTTAGACCGCGCGGCCACTGAGGACCCCACATTTTATTTTTAATAATTTAAATTCTATTGGAATAATCTTTTTTTTAACAAACTGGATCTTATTTGAGAATCTTTTAAGGAGTAAATGACGTTAGCTGTAATGAATCAGAAAGGTGTGTACTTAAATGAAAATTTGTTCTAGGTATTTTGAGTATGTAACAGATGTGTTAGCAACCTGTAAACCTACTTAAAAATACAAGAACGTCAATTTAGAACTACTAGATAATGAAGTACAAGTCCACAGATTTCTCTTTAATGTATGTGGTACACTATTACATACAAATCATAAAACATCCCCTTGATAAGCAGTGGCTGATCAGTAGTATTTTCTGTTAACTACAGTCATGTTTGTGTGTATATAAATGGATAGTTGAGAAGCCAATGAGTATAAGTCTTCTCCATCTATGGCTCTCCGGTCCATATTCGGTCCGTGGCCTACTTAATTCTCCTCTTCCATTCGGTCCTCTGTTAGGTCCGTCTGTCCGAGGCTTCGATCGAGGTTTCGAAACATCTTCCTTTTTATGGCGCAAGGTTGTTAGCCTTGCGACCAACCCCCAACCTGGAGGACCAGGGTACCTGTCTTAGTCTGACCTCCCCCCCTGGCCCTACCAGTAGTTATGCTACCGCCAGAATAGCTCTTGGGGTCACTGAGGTACTCAAGCCCCACCACCACGACAAGGTGCAGGTACCATTAAGTGTGTACTTACCATAGATATTAATTTTATATGATGATATTAATTAAACACTTTCTTGTGATAGGTTTAATGACTTATCACTCATTGACTTCTGAACCATCCATATATCAAAATGTGTATTGGTTAATGGATGTGTTCTCTGTGTAGTCTCATCATAGAAGTCAACAAAATGTAATCATGGCAGCTTCAGTATCACCCAAAGTAGAAAGCATTCCGGAGAGCAGACAATGTTTGGATAAAAGAAGTGGTTCCAACTCATCTTTGAATAGTTCTGCGTCATCTGGTGCTCGAAGCTGGGCGAACATGGTTAAGGGCACAGAAGTTTCACGCACAACAGTTTCGGTTGAGGTACTGCCGAGGACAGGAGCTGGCAATGAAGATGGTATGTATCTTGCTGATGTGTTTAATGACCTCAGTTAACAGGTTTTTGACATTCCTGATATATGCTATCTCCGTCTTCAATGGTCAGGAAGTCCGTTTCTGACTACTTTAAAGATGTACTAAGATAAATGTTTTATGTTATGTATGTCTTCATTTGAAATGTTATTTTCAAGATTATGACCATGGAAAATAGATCTTACATAAATAAGGTGTGAGGTTGTGGATTGGGTTTGGCTGTTTCACGGAGTTGTGAACTTGTTAATGAACATTCTGGTTCCATAAAATTGGGGAATTTGTTAACTAGCTGAGTCACTGTGAGGTTTTCAAGGACTCGACTGCATGAAGTTAGATGTATTTTGAGTAATTCACATTTTAATTATGATCATCTTATAGGCATTTAATCATGTTATGAATAAGTAGTAATAAGTTTTGTCTGAACTTCTAAATAAATCGTTAAGGCTGTTTGTCCATGGATAAATTATGTGGAAAATCATACTGTATTTCTTTTTTGTCAAAATGCTTTTTAAATCAGTTATAATTAATGAATTTTCTATTACAGATGATACACAGGGCTGGGAGACAGTGAAGAGCAGGTCACGTTCTCGTATGTCACCGGCTAGCAAAGTGGAAGGATTAGGGTCATCTCTGTCGCGCAGTGCCGGCAACATCAAGTGTCGTCCCATGGAAAGGAAAGGCAGCATTGGCATGGCTTCACGTGGATATGGTGCAAAATCCAGATTTCAGCAGCCAAGTGCTGCAACTTCGCTTCCGGCTTTGGCTCTGATAGAGGTAGAAGTACGACCACCTACGACTAAAGATGGGAAGAAAATTGCCGAACTGAAGAGAAGTGTTCCTTCATTGACACTGGCATGCCGGAACAGTACCAATATTACCAAAATGAAAAAAGATGTCAAAGATATCAAAGAAGATAATAACAATAAGCTACTAAAATCTATCAAAACCACATCAGTTTCAAGTAGAAAGGTAAATGGGTATGGAAAAAATGAGAAACAAGGGAAATCAGAAGAAGTTTCTAGTGACAAAGTCGTTTCAAAAGTTGCATCAGATTCCGAGGATAACCGAGAAAAAAGAAAAATTGTAGGAACTTTGGAAAAGAAAGAGGATGTCGAGTCTGAAATTGTTAAGCATGATGCTGAAGGGACGCAAGAGGAAAAAATTGTCAGGTAATGACATATGTTAAAATCTTATTTTTAATATTAGATGAATGGAGTAACAGGACAGAGAGGTGGATACAGAGCAGTTCCGCTAACTTCCTTTACTCACGGCACCACAGAATTTTGTCTCGCAAAGGGGGTAACAATTTAAACATGGCTACAAATTTGTATCTGCATATAATTCCTCGTCTTGTAAGTATGCAGGTACGTGACAACAAAACATAAAGCTATTGTCGATGAACTCGTGTGATTGTACTTCTTCTTCTTATGGCTCTCCGGTCCGTATTCGGTCCATGGCCTCCTCAATTCCCCTCTTCCATTCAGTCCTCTGTTAGGTCCGTCTGGCCTTCCCTGTACTGCACTGTCAGCTGTCTTGCGCATGCGCCTTACTGGCCAGCGCAGCGACTCGCGCGAAAATATCAAAATATTTGATCTCGGACTTTGGCCGCTTCCCTCTCCTGACCACTTCGCTGTAACCTAGGAGAGCGCCATACAAACAGCCAGTTTGATATTTCCGCTTCACCCACGCAGCTCGCACCGCTCGCATTTAATCGCTCACGTAGGACAGCGGGTAAAGGCTTAACCTTGAAAACAACTTGTGTTTAAAATGTGTTTATAAATGTTAAGTAATGATTTGGAAGGAGGCACTTGCGTGTTTGAATGTGAAATTTCATTGTTCGTGTTGAGAGTATGAGGAAAACCATGGAAAACCTTATTCAAAATGGCTAAGATTTGAACAACGTACGTCCTGAGTGTAAATTTTGAGCATTATTACTACTACAACCTGCTTGATGCTTTTACTTAATTTTGAGGTTTTCCGTGTTCCTTTTTTTCCAAATTCAAAAACATATTTGTGATTTTTGGAGTTGGCAGTGGTAAGGTACAGCATTGTAAACTTAAATGTCTTGAATATGATCATTTGAATGGATTTTTATCTCTAATTTTAATAGCAATAAGACATTGCTTTTTTTTAAACATTACTTTGTCTTTTTTTTATAAACAGTTGCTCTGGTACTATAATTTTGGATGTTCAACTTGAAGATATTTTGGAAGAGAAGAGTTTATTTAATGAAGAGGAGCTAAGAAAAAGTAAGGAACTGTGTGCTGAGGAAGCAATGTTGAGGAAAGAAATTCATGAACTAGAAACGACAGAAATTGAGGTAAGTACCGTAATTTTTATTGTGTTGTTTTGTGTGCAGTATAGGTTTTTTGACAGCCAAAATTTGTTGTAATCCCGGTATGGAAAAATAAATCTTGTGTTCTTTGAATGTAAACAAATGCAATATTAACTGAAGACAGGTGAATGGTACATGTCAAGTGACATTTGGGTTTAGATCCGTATGATGTCATCTCCATGACTTTACACCAAAGCAATCATCTTTTAGTAGGATTTGAGGTTTTCGTGGCGGTGAGTCTGAAGAGGGCTGTCTTCTGAGTAGTTGTGCCACGTAGTCTGGTAGAAGTTTACCGAAGTTTCAGAAGTGTGCGTTTTGTGAGTAGTGAGTGACAAGCCCACTGCCTCTGCACAATTTCTACTCAATCATGATTTGACTGCTAGAGCCATCTAGTAGTGAATCAAGAGAGACATGGGTGAGAAATAGCCACTGAATTTTGCTTACGAAACATCTCGTTCATGCCCGTAAGGTTCTCTTACATGCCGTAAGTCTACGACATGGGACCGCCGGCTTTACTTCCGCTCTGATGGAAGTTTGTGCTACAGATTTTAATCACTCTTAAAAATCCATCGACCTCGGCTGGGTTTGAACCCGCGAACCTTGAGTCCAGTGGTAAGCACGCTAACAACTAGTCCACCGAGGGCGACACAAGGCAGACTTAACCCTCTAAATGCATGTTGCAAAGAACAAATGAAGGTATTATGCGTATTCCAGTACTGAACACACTGCAGAAGCATGTTAATAAGCATTTGTTCTTTAATAATGATTCTTGTGTCATTTGATGCACGGATAAATTTTATTAGTATTTTAAACATTTTTATAACCTCATACCATACCAAATTCTGTATCCCCAATTGAAACAGTGTATGTTACCGTCATAAAATTTAAAAATTCTGCTTTATGCATCTCTTAATATTTTTCCCCTCCCCCAGTTTCAATGACAAAAGCTGATGATTCTAAGATGAAATCTACTAGAATATGAAGTTCCTGTACACTGCACTGGAAAATTAATGAGACCATAATTGATTGTGGAGTTTTGTTTGAATTATTGTTTCGATAGAGGTACATTTACTGGTGTGGTTTTCTTTAACAGGTGGATACAGAGACAGATGAGACAGAAACAGACGGAGAAGCAACAATTGGACCTGAAGAGGATGATGAAGAAAGGCAGAATGATATGGCAGAAATTCAGAAGAGCCTGATTCCTGAAGATAGTATGACGCTGGAAGCCAGATATGAAACTCAGTTAGAGGGTACATAGACTGCATTTATAGACTGGATACAGGAATTTTTGATTGTGCGAAGTATATGGAATTACGGACATTAATGCTATTGTAGCGCCTTTTGTTTCTTTGTGTAGCTAGAGCGAAAGGAGCAAAAATTACACCGTGTTTCAAAAGTAGCTTTACAACTTCGCAGGAGAATATAAATTTATTGAAAGGACGTGCGCAATATTTTTAAATGCACAAATTTAGCCAAACACATCAAGTTTCATGCACATAAACTGTAGTGCCGAAAACCGCAATGATAAAGTGTACGGCCCCTTCTTTTTCATGGAGAAGACCATTACTGGCATTGTGTATCTGGACATGCTCCAACAGTTCCTCATTCCTCAACTTGACGAAGATGACCAGGAAGGATGCATTCACTTCCAGCAAGACGGTGCACCCCCTCATTACATCGGAGAAGTGCGCGAGTACCTCAACAACCGTTTCCCAGGTCGGTGGATCGGTCGGGCCGCACCAATAGCACGGCCACCTCGTTCCCCGGATCTAATGCCTTTAGATTTTTTCTTGTGCGGATTTGTTAAAGATGGAGTGTATGTGCCACCTTTACCTGCAAATGTGGCCGAACTCCGAACTTGAATTACCGCCGCAGTTGCCGAAGTGACACCGAAGATGCTACACCACACGTGGCAAGATATTGACTACAGATGGGATGTCTGCCGCATAACAAATTGAACCATAAAAAGCCGAAGGACATAAAACTTGAAGTGTTTGACTACATTTCTATGTTCTGAAATTATATGTTTCTCCTATCAGTTCACCAATATCTCGCCCTCAAGTTGTAAAGCTACTTTTGAAACATGCTGTATTATTATGGGTAAACTTGATATAGAGATTGTAATGTATGTGCGCATATCAAGAGTTTCTGATTCTGCAATTGATTTCTTTACAACCTGTCTGTATGTTTCTCAATGCCTCCTGTGTGCTAGGTGATTGGCATTAATTTGTTACTATTTTATATTTATGTCTGACATACGAGGGGTCTGAAAGAAAAGTGAGCAATCTCCAATTTCCCACAATCTGATAAAAGTGCCAAAAAATCTATTAAGGACACATACAATTTCATTTCCTGTATTCAGCATGACATTTACTGCCATTGTCAGGGGATGTATATTTAAATCTTGGAATGTTGATGCATTGGTGGTTAGCAGGATTCACGACCCGTCAGTACATGAGTTTGATCGGGACCGCGATATTTAACGCTCCTGCTGAGACCCCCATTTTTGCGAGATGATGATGAAAGCGGAGTAATTTTTGGGATGCCATGGAGAAACCGGGGAAACCCCGGAGGAAAACTCCATGATGCCTAGACCACGGCCTTGCCCAACACAAGTTGTAAATCTGAGCACCGCTGGGAATCGAACCCGGTACCCCAGTATTACAAGCCCAGCGTTCTAACCGCTAGACCACCATGGCGGTTATTCAGACTCATTAAGAGGACCCTAACTCAGTATCACCAAAAAGTTGAGATTGCTGCCTAATTATTTTCATTCGGGGTCAGATGGGGCTATTTCAAAGTGATCACCGGCCAGAGAGCCTTTCAGTTGCCAGAAGGTTAATTCGTAAGATAATTAAATATGAAAAGTTGAAAATTGTTGCTTTCTGTGTTAATACAGGTGTCGTGAAGGGTCCGCTGTGTTTTAGAGTCGGACAAAGTGTACAGAAAAGATAGATGCAGAAATAAGTGAATTATAAAATTTAAATAAGAAGTAACTGAGAAGTGTATATGAATTTAATTTGAATCTTCAAGTTTTTAATCTCCAGATAAAAATGGAACTTACCATGTGGCTGCTGTAATTTAATGGTTACATTGGTTGAAAAGAAATTTTGAATTGTGTAAATGTTTTAGTATTTTGTGAGAATTTACAGAGCAATTTAAATTTCTTATTGAAGGTGGTTGTCTTCTGGGTTGTAGCACTGTGTAGTCTGGTAGATTTTAACTGACATTTCAGAGGTACTTGCTGCATCTGAAACATTGGTTAACATCTACCAGACTACACAGCGCTACAACCCAGAAGACGACCATTCTTATACTCACTGTGAGAACCTCAAATCCT